ATAGAGGGATAAGGACTGAAGAGATATAAAGACTGAGGTGAAGCAGAATTTGGGGAAGTGGAGTTGTTGCCATGGGCTGCTGGAGTAGGAACAGAATTAGAGGCAGCTGGAGAAGGTAGTCAGCCAAAGCAAAAAAGAGACAGTGCAGAGGAAGCAAACAAGAGATGGAACAGGATGGAGCAGATGTTTGAGAGTATGATGGTTCCATAAACTCTCTCAGTAAAGATGAGAGTGCAGTAATATGACCAGGTTTGGGGTGTTTTAAAACTGGGGCACTCCCTGTCAGTAACACTTGAGAAGTCTCTCAGTACTTAACAGTGTTTATTAATATCCAGCAGCAAGGACTTTAAATAATGTGGAAGGAAAACCTGTGGCCATGTATCACTCAACCAGAGGATCAACGTAAGCATGAGGCATGTTTGAAACAAAACTGGAATTTTATTTAAACACACTTGGTTAGGATTAAAGCTTAATGGTTACTTTCATAAGGCACACCACTTTGTTTCAGTCAGATCACTTTACCAAAGAAATTAAGAATGTTGCTTAAAACTTCAATTTAAACCTGTTCTGCTTAATCTAAGTCTTCCTTGAATGGCTATTTGTACTACTGAGCCAATAAAACACTTCCAACCCCTTCTAGGATCTTTTCATTCCCCTCAGGGAGACGATATTGGTTGTCCTTGCCTAGCAAACCACTAACCACCTATCTAAACCCTGGCTAAGCCCAGTTCAAGCCCTATCTCACAGATTGTCAGGTTCTATCTTTTAACTCAACTCCCTCTTGATTGGATGATAATGACTCAAATAGGGGGTATATCTGATGTAAAGGCTATCCCAATGCTACATTATTATTTTTAATGAACCCGTATTTCCTCCTCCATTGACTATTGTAACTAGTTATTTGAATAAGAGCTGGGGGAATAAGTATATATTATTACTTATATACCACCCTAATACTATTAAGTACTTTCTTAAAATATACAATAAATAAGTCCCTGCCAAAGCAGTTTAATATCTCCAACAAGGCATTGTAAGGGACACATTAAAGGGGAATAGGTGGCAAGAAATATTAAACTAGCGCCATGCTCAAACTCAGGATAGTAGAAGTACCAGTTTGTGTTCAAAAATATAAATATATTACCTTTGAATGTAACACAGAACAGTTTAGCTTTTCCAACGCACGTTTTATAGATGCCTTTGAAGTCCTTTTGCCGCAAGTGTGGCTTTTACCCCCATTAGGTAATTTAATAGGTAAGATCAACTTACTCTTTTGCCGCACCCTGCCCCCATTATACACTGCCACCATTAAAGCAGTTTTGGGTCATTGCTCATTATGGTTACAGTATTTTTGTGAAATCTATTCCTTGTTCATTTCACTATCCAGAAATATCTGCTTCTTTAATTGCTACAGTTTTGTTACATCTTGTTATTGTTGTTGTTATTTGTTCATTTAATTAATCCACAGAGAGAGTTCTGAACAAATTGCACAATGGATTTTCTTTTTTTCTTTTCTTTTTTACAGGTGCAAGTGTGTAACAGAGTTGTTTAAGAGAATGGAAAATGAAGAATAAGGGGAATGCAAATATGCATAAGACTCATTGTCATTTAACCCATTTGGAGTGCAGGACAGCATAAAAGGCTGATCTTTTCCTTACAGTTTTACATAGACGATGCTGCAAACTGAGCTTTTTCTTCTACTATAACCTTGGTAATAATGTGTTCAGTTAATCTGCAGTGTAGAGTCATCCCCTCGAAAAGTAATTCACTTCTTCTTCTTTTTCTTTTTTAAAGGTGGAAAATAAATATGGTGCCGTAAAATTGTTGAGTAGAGGAATCTATCTGGACATTTCACAAAACATTTCATTATGCTGATAATTCCCAGAAGTGCTCTCGAGAGTGCTTTAAGCTGAGGATTACTGCACTGGATCTGATGGACTTTTTTTGTAGCCCCTTTAAAAGGCAGTGAACCGTTTTTCTATTTTATTTAAATAATGCCCCTTAAAATGGATTTTTAGAGGTATAATAACTCCTTAAGAGTCAGTTATGCTAAACAGTTTCTCTTGATAGAAATGTTGTAAAACTCGTTAACTGCACAATTTCAGATGCCGGCTTGGTGAACACTAACTGACATTTGAATGGTCGGAGTTTGTAAAATAAATTGAAATAGTTGTTGTATCACACAGCTAGCTGTGCACAAGCTGTAGGCCACGAGGGGCTTGAACCTGACAGAAAATTACTTCAAGATGAATGAAAAGTGCTTGTTTCTCTTTATTAGTTTTTGGAGAACAATGAAAATGTTGAATTGTTTACAGAAGGGCTGATTAAAAATGGTCAGTGAGGCCATGTCCCCACTGCTAACTGTTAGCCACCCCCCAGCCTCCCCCCTCTTCTCCCCACCATATGCATCTTCTTATACCCATAATAGTCACACATCTGTGTGTGAAATGTGCTCATTTTGACATTCCTCTGCTGCTGCAAGCTGCTGAGGCCATTGTTAGGTAAAGGGCTGTTGTCAAGCCTAACAAGCTGGTCATGCAATTTGCTGGACACCGCGGTAGAGAATAACCCACGATGAATTGCTTCAACCTCAAACAATGCTCAGTTCAATATTAGAATACAGAAGTATTCTTTGGCTTTGTGTCGTCCTGATCCTTGCAATATTTTGAAATATTCTATGCACACACACGCAAATCTTTTTTCCCCCTCTCTCTCTCTGTCTCTCTCTTCAGAAATGCATACCTACTGCCCAGAAAGAATATCATGGTAACCAAGCCTTACATGGTTGTTATTTCTAACATATGTTTTTGAATGGTGAAAAGAGAAATTGATACAAAGAGTTAAAGAGCGAGAGACACTTTTGTAACTCAAAATTCATTTTTTTTTTGTATGTCTTCCACTCCAGGCACAGTGGGATGCTTCAAAGTGCTATCCAATATTCTGTCAAACTGTTTGGTCCAATTTCAGGGCAATTCAAGTCAAGACCCCTTTAGCACAGCTTTGCCTGTAATTTCTTTTACTAACACATATGGTATTGTTCAACGAATTATAAAAGTTTGGGAGTAATTAATATTCCCATGGGGTAAGAGAGCAGTGCAGTCCCTTTGAAGCTTCAAAAACATTTCTCATGATTCTTTAAAAGAGAGAGGGAGAGAGAGAGACGGAAATCACTTGTATTTACATGGTACTGTTTTTTAAAAAGCCTCCCTCTCCTCCCCTCCCCTTCCAAATCCCTTCCCCCTTCCCTTAAACACACACACCAAGAGAAATCACCCATTAACATGCAGGAGTATGAATGCTATTTGTGGCATTCTGTCACTATACATTGCGTACCGCCCCAATGTGAAAGCAGGATTTTCTTTTTTCTATCTGCAGAACATGCATTCCAGGGCCTATTATGTGTATAAACAATAGCATATGTAATTACCTTTCCAGGGTGGCAATTACTCTTCAGATTCAATGGCTAGAGTTAAAGTAAAAAAAAAAAAAATCTGTTCCCATTGCTCACAAAGCTGCCAACCTTTATGGATCAAATCTTGGTCATCGGCAGCACAAGACAAACCCTATCAATCCGGTTTTTAAAACATCCATGGGGTAGGGAAGGGGTGGTGCAGTCCACAGTCCACATTGCTTTGGGGACTTTGTTTCAAATGTGTTCATTTCAAGCCTTGCCTACCCATCAATTGCTTTATACCATTCTCCTCATGGAAGGGGGGGGGAAACACAGAGAGAGACACACACACAACTTTTTGCTAGGGAGGATTTCCTCAGCGATTCTGTAGGTATGAAAATTCCATGCCTGTCATGTCAACGTTGGTGGCTGGTGTAAAATGCTGACTTGCTTGACTTCCTTCAAGTTATGATGAGTTTTCTGGAGTAGGGGAAAGGAAATTGCATTTCTCCTCCACCTTTCCCTGCCTCCACCAGCCCCACTCCCCCTCCAGCCACCCAATATTATTCCATATGGCCTGCGAAGCTAAAATACTGAAGCACTTCAGGCTTAGATTTTCCTCAATTAATCATCACATAATCAACTAAACCTTTAATGACAGTTTAAAATGTCATTAATCTGCAAATAATAATAATAATAATAATAATAATAATAATCCAGGATTCAGGACATTTGAAGAAAGTTGTGTAACTGTGAAAGTTTATACATTTCTACAGAAGTAAGTCCCATTGAGTTTGATGCTCCCATGAAGGTGAATATTGCAGGAATGGCGGACTTGTGGTCTTCCAGATATTGTTGGGCTCAGGCTCACATCAGCCCCAGCCAGCATGGCCAATGGGCGGGGTGATGGCAATTGTAGCCCAACAACATATGGAGGGCCACAGGTTCCACAGTCCTGGAGTAGAGAATTGCATCCTAACACTGCAATTCTGTACCCACTTAAGAACATAAAAGCTTTTGAATCGGGCTAATGGCCTACCTAGTCCAGCATTGTGTTCTCGCAGTGGCCAACCAGATGCCTGTGGGAAACCTGTTAGGAGGACCAGAGCACAAGACCACTCTGCCTTACTGCAGTGTCCAGCAACAGGTATTCAGATGCATTGCTGCCTCCAACCATGAAGGCAGATAATGGTCATCATGTCTAGTAGCCATTGATAGCCTCATCCTCCATCAATCTATCTAATCCTCTTTTGAAATCATCCAAGTTGATGGCCATCCCTATCTTTTCTGGGAGTGAGTTCCATTGTTTAACTATGAACTGCATTAAGAAGCCCTTTCCTTTATTTGCCTGATTTTTCCAACATTCAGCTTCATTCCTACTTACATGGTAGTAAACCCTGCTGCATTCAGTAGGATGTGTGCCTGAGTTCACATGCAATTGCTGAAATAAGTTGCTTCCTTTTGCCAAATCTGAAGGTCTTAAAGATCATTTTTGCTTCTGGTTGTCATCCAAAGCTAGCAGATCATTTGAAATTGTACTTGATCTTCCTTCAGGAACCTCACAAGAGCACCTTCTCTGAGAGTTTGGAACAATCACTTAAAAGCCAGACAGTTAATTGATTAAAATAATTTATTAAGTTGACAGCCCCAACTCCCATTAATTTATGGGAATGGGGCTTAAATCCAGTGCTGAACATTTAATAAAATCAAACATAAGAATTTTCAACTGTACATGTAATACATATGTTTAATTTAATAGGATTACAGTTACTGTGGCTTCAGGTGTGTCATTGATACAGGGGAAATGAAAATCATGCCTGGTACTTTTAATTCCTCTACATCTAACAACAATCTCTGTGAGGGACTGGCATTGAAAACCACACAGAAACTTTAAATGATGCAGAACCCTGTCATTAAATCCTGAATGAGACAACGTGCTGGGATCTTGTGAACCCCTTACCTGCCATTTCCACTCTTGTGTTGGCTGTGGGGCCAGCCTTGAACAGCATCTGGAAGCTACAACTGATACTGGTTACCATGGCCAGATTGTTCAGATTGTTTACTGGATCTGACGACTGTGAACATATCATGACAAGGTTTTTAAAACTTTTTACTAGCACCTAGCTTTTTTCCAAAGTGCTAGCTGAGGACCACCATCTCCAGCAGAAACCTGTCCATAGTTTAAGATAATATTCAGAGATCCTTCTCCAGATTTCACTTCCTCAGCATGCTTGTCTGGCACTTGGGTTGCTTCCAGATGACCTGTTTAGTAAGAACTCATCTTGATCAAGTGTTTTCTGAGCATTCATTTGTATTTGACCCGGTGGGTGGGGTGGCACATTTCTATTGTATGCTTTCCAATGCATTTCCCATCACTTTCCTTACCACAAAAAGTCCCTCCAAAATTGGAAGCCGATTATGGAAGCTCAAGTGTGCCAAATCCACTTTAACTGCTCAACCTGGTCTGCATCTGAATCTCACCTGCGAAACAGCAACAACAGTTTATTATGGAAAAGGTTGTTGTATCAATAAAGATCTCACCTTGAGCTTTTTGGAGGAACAGTGAGATTAAAATGTAATATATAACCATAGTAATTTGGCAGCCTGTCCAAAGTACCTTTCACTCTGCCGTTCGGACAGCAGAGTAGCATACAACTGAGATGATGGAAGACAACCCAGGTAAAGGAAGATACCTCTTTCCTTTGAAACTTTCATGCAGATTATGTGGAAAACCAGCCACATGGACTACATAGTCCACACTTATTAGCTATGTGGATGAGTAAAGGCCAGTATCAGACCCTGTGCTTTGAAACAACAGGAAACAGCTGGTGTGGAGTTCTTTCAAGTCTACTGCCAGGATGAATCCAAAAATCTTGTCCCAAATACTTTTTGGCTCTTAAAAAATATTTCCTAGTTATTCTGGAACTTTGATGTCTTTAGCATAGAAGGAGGTGTGATCTGACCGCTGCAAATGTTTCTGTTTTTCACTTGAGGGTGTTCTTCCTGCCTCCAGAGAAACAGCCTCCATGAAAGTTTCCACAAGGCTCACAGTTCTCCTGTTGGAAAGCAACCATCAGGCATTTATTTCCTGTGACATGAGTGCCTGCACCCCACCTCCTCCTCAAGTCATTCCGTCCAGGCGACTCAGATTATGAGTTTTGACAAACCCCATAAACATGTCATTATGGGGAAGATGGGTTGTAGTCATTGCTCAGTAGTCTTTATTATTTACTACACAATGAATAGACTAGCACAAGGAAAGACTATGAGAAGATGAAAGTAAGGTTAGTTAAACATTGAATTAACGGCTCTGTGCTTTATAAGATTGATAGCATCTAAGCTTGAGTTCAAAAGAACTGTGTAAATGTCGTTCATTTACAGGTGCTGTTTGGTTGTTAGGACTGTTTTATTGTTCATAATACTGCTGTCTGTAAAGATATGAGCTTTCCACACTGAAGTTAAAAAAAATAGATTTTACATAAGTCACAAAGTGACTTCAGGAATTGACCTCTGTAAATATTCCTGTTTATCCTCACCTATGGCTCGTATACACTTTATAGCTTTGCACAGAATTTGAGCAGTCAACATGAGGGTGCATGAACTCCGACATGCACTTAATTAGAATTCCATTCACTTTATGGAAAAATCAAAAGGCAATGACAGAGCATCGTTCTGCTACTTGTGTGTGCCTTCTGAGTTCACACAGCATTCATCTTGCTCTGGGGACTTTGATGATATATTTATATGAAAAAATAAAATCAAATACATATATCTATATATGAAGGGTGGAAAACCTATGGTCCTTCAGTTGTTGTTGGACTACAGCTTCCATCATGCCTGACAGTTGGTTATGCTGGCTATGGCTGATAGAAGATGGAGCCCAGCAACACCTAGAAGACTACAGGATCTAATGGCAGTTCATTGGCTTTGGCTGCAGTTGTTCTTGGTGGCAAGCTAAAGATATAACAAACTCTGCCTCTGTCCTTTAGCTTTTCAACAAGTGATACTCATACCACTTGAAACAAGGGAGGGAAGACTGTTTGCCATCAAGGCACAGCTGCTTCCACCTGCCATGTCCTACTCTCTTCCACCTAGGAGCCTTTATAAGGGAACAGCTGCCAAATGAACTGTGAGGGGGTTCTGGACTCTTGAGTCTAGGTGTAATGGTTGCAGGAAAGTTGCTAGCTATGTACTTCCTAGCATTAGCTATCGAGCTACATTTGGATCTTAATTGGCCTGTTGATAAGCTTTATGCTCACTTAATCTTCTTTGATATATTCTACATAAACCATTATGAGCCTGTTGCCCTCCAGATGTTTTGGACTACAACTCCCATCAGCCCCATCCATCATGGCAATGGTCAGGGACAATGGGAACTGTAGTCCAACAACATCTAGAATTACATTCCTGCTCTTGGGGGAAGCAAAGAACAAGTCTTTGCTCTTTTCTATGTGACAGCCCCTCAAGTGAGATTTCAGGGTGCAGGGACCTCAGTCGTGTTTGGATCAGTAAGCATTTTCTTGACTATGATGTAGCAGAATAGAAAAGGTACTTAGACTCCAAGCCAGACTTTTGAATTATATCTGAGACTATAGCAGTAGAGAAATAGGAATGAAATGGAAAGAAGTGTGAAAATGGTGGCTGAACTGGAAACTGACCACAGGAGGGGAGCAGTTGTATCCTAAACATTAGGAGGTTTGGGGTACAACTGTTCCACCCCTGTGGTCCTAAATCCTTCAAGGAAAGACTCATCTAGATTGCAGTACAGTAGCCAGATGCTGAGAATCATTTGTTTGGAAAAGCTAAGTCATCCCTTCTATAATAAGCTTCTATATTAGTGAGCCTCTTTCTATGATTCATCACAATGCCTTTCCTTATATGCCACACCACTAAGTAGCCAGAGGAACATCCTCTCCCTCCACTGGGCATCCCCCATGCTGCGTCAAAATCTGTTCTGGGGCAATGGGGAAAAACCCAGAGCAGATTGGGGAGGTGCAGGGGGTGTGGCAGGAGGAGGGGAAGAGAAGGCTCAGTTGTATGAGCAGGGTCATTCCACTTATGCAGTGGCATAGCTGAGTGCAACCCAAAGTGTAAGAATAGTTTAAAATTCTTCTTCATCCATGATGCTCATTGGCTGGCCATAAGCCATTTTAGATATCTCCACCTGATCTACTTTATAGGTTTGTTGTGAAGAGGATATGGGGTGGGGGAAGGGCAGTGCCACTGAAACTCTCAGGCTCTGGGAGAAAGAGGAGGATACATACAGAATAAATGAGACCCGCATGTCACTGAATCCACAGATTAACTCATCAAGGAATATTGCATGTGTAGAACTGCATCAGCCCCGGGCAGAAGAAGGTGCAATTCTGTGTAAATAGATATCCCTCAAAAGATAGATAGAGATGATATACTAACCAACAATATTAATTATAATAAATGTCTTGGTCAGTCAGTTGGTTAAGCTAACCCAATTCAACTGAACAAACAAATGGGCCTGAGCTGGCAGCCTTTTCAAAGAGTATCTCCAGCCTCTTTTATCCTGCCTGGTCATTAGAGCTGCTGCTGGAGCTGTTTCACTAGACTTTTCAGGTTTACCTGCCAGCTTTTCTGGAGTTCGTGTCAAAGCTCCCACTTCCCTTCGGTTTCACTGCTGCTATTAAAGTTTGAGCTGCACTTTGCTAAGTGTGGAGGCTTGCACTGAGCGGATCCACTGCTGATTATCATGCAAATCAGACTCCTCTGCTGGCTCCAAAGAGGCTCCCAGCTTTGCTACCCCCATTGATCCTTTCATTGTCAGAGGGATAAGGCTAACCCATCTCTTCTGACACCAGAAGCTACAAAGATAGGTTCCCGTGACAGTGATTGGTAGGAGGAAATGAATCTTTCATGTACGGCAGAAATATGGTTTGATTTAAGAAAAGAAAATAACCATATGTAATTGGGCTTCTGTCACTGTAAATTTTAATGGTAATCGTAACACTGAGGTTTCTGGTTCCTTAAATTACAGCTTTCAGTGGCTTCCCACTGAATCTCTCTATTATTCTTCATAACTACTTTCTCAAAGCATGTGCACCATGACATCGATATCACAATTCACGTCTAAATTCGAAATTGACAGCAGGGCTGGATGGTGTGCCCTTGCACTGAACATCAGAGGGACAAAAAGAAAGGATGTCATTTCCTAAGATGTAGCCACCTGTTTCTCAAAGTGCTGAGCGATGAGTAATGCAGTCCTGCAGCAAATGCTTCTGGGAGCCAGTGTGCGGGACAGTTTATTCAATCAACACATTCAAATGCTAAAAAATTTCCCTGGACTCTCACTTCAGGTAGCAAGTATGGGTGGGTGGAGTATGGGTATTGCATGTCTGAATGTTCCACTCTTGGAGGAGGGGAGAGACTGGATGTAGAAAAGTTGCATTTCAGGGGATTGTTCTCTCTTCTCCCTGACACGCTCACTTTCTGTATGCCTGTTCACACATCCAGTGGTCCTCCATGCTCAGCTAAGAAATGGAATGAAACCATCTATGATATCACTGGTATGCTATGTAATAGGCCTCATTGATGCTGATTCTGTATACCGTATTTTTTCCGTGTATAAGACTAGATTTTTTTCCTAAAAAATAATGTCAAAAATTAGGGGGCATCTTATACTCTGGGCTAGCTCCCCCTATTTTCTTAAATCTGAGTCCCCAAAAATAGGGAGTGTTTTATATATGGGGCGTCTTATAGATGAAAAATACGGTAATTTTGGCACTCCCAAAATATGGTGACCTTGCATATATCTGGTGCTTTCAAACTTTCAAAATTCTTTGTAGTTTACACTTTATTGATAGGTTTACAATTGTGTACATTTTGCTGTGAAATACAAATGGCTGGCATGTTTCATGCTGTGTGGGGAAATCATGTATAAAGTATCAATCAGTTGCTCAGTTGAAGCAGAAAATCGCCAACTTCTTTATACAGCAACATGTGTGAAGAAGAGACAGCATGCCCATACATGTACCTGTTCCAGTATGTGAAAAAAGAAGGTGGCCTATGGGAAAATGTAATAGGCATGTTGCCCAAAAATATGGAGTTAGATGAGGAATAACTTAATTTCACATTGTTCCCATTGAAATTGGATTAAAGCTAAACATCCTATTAATTAAAATGGGAACTAAGTACAATAAATTTCAGTGAGTTCTATGGGGCTTACTCCGAGGCAAGCGGTTTTAGGATCGCAGCCTTGGTCTGGATCCAACCAATGGTTCTAAAAAGAGCAGCTGAATCATTTAATTCAGACCTGAATGTACATGTTGGCTTTTATTTATTTATTTATTTATTTATTTTTTAAAAAACTTCCAATATACAATCAAAGCATTGTTCCATGAAGTAAATGCTCTATTTCTAGTGTCAGTTCATAACTAATTTCTTGAAAATCATGACAGGTGTGCATAGTGTGCAAAACATTACACACAAGTACAAATATGTAATGAAGTGTGGGAGAGGGCATAAGGGATATACCACTCGTCACATTCAGGATGGGATGACCTACTTTATCTCAGCATGTTGACGGTATGCTACTTTCATCAAGACTCTGATCCCAGAGAGTACCTGGCAATTTCAGGTAGCCCTGAATGGGTGAGAGCCAATTATCTGACTGGAGTAATAGAGGTTCTCTTTTAAACAATTAATTATGGGATTGGCAGGTGCATGACAGATACCCATCCCTTGAACTCCTGTTATGGCTTTGCACATGTACAACATTTGCAGCACTGCCACACTCTTAATCTTTTAACAGAAATGCATTTCTACTTTTTATGCCGGTGCAGAAACTTTGCAATGGAAACAAAGTTCAAAACAACACAGATTGAAACCTGTAGTAGGTGAAATGAGCTGATGGTGTGATATTAGAAATCCATGAACTAACCATTTTCTCTTTATTAAATCAGATTTTGCAGTATTTGCTGAAAGCAAGAAACACTGAATTATATTTAAATAATCATTCCATAAATACTGCGTGTTTTCACAGCAGTCACAAACTCTGGAATTTATGTCCTAATTACATACCCCAAATCATCTCTATCCAGATTTGCAATTAAAACTGAAATATTTTCATATAATACAATTCCAGAGTTCGTAACAACATCAATGAGATGTACCAGTTATTATTTGCTTAGTACAGTCAAACATTTTCTGTTTTCCAAAACCATTGCTTCACTTTTTCTGTCCTTGGGCCTGCTGTTTTTACAGCTGGGAGTGGTTAGGATTTAGTGGCGATGTAATTTTGAAGGGCAAAAAAAACAAGAACGAAATATTCTTACATGGCAATTCACATGTGGTAGAAATCAGTAGAAACCAATGATAACCAGAAGATGCACAGATTATTATTTTTTAAAAAATCCCCACATAGCATTGACTTCTTAATATAATATTGCTGTTTTTTTAAAAATAAAATCCACATATTTTTAGAAGTATGGGCTGACAGTAAAGAAGAGCTAGAATGCAAATTTAGGGAGAATGTTGAATAATTCAGTAGCTTGTTATGTGATTAGATCTGATTGGTTCCCTACTAAGATATTGCCCATAAAAATGATTTCCCATGGTAGCATTGGTCTCAGGATAGGAAGAGGATGGGGGGTTTATGATGTCCATTAAATGGGAGAACAAGGCTTACTTGAGCTAATAATATCATGGTTGCACAGAGTGATTGATGGTCTTTAAAAAGGCCCAGATTGGTTTCATCTTTCTTCAGATTTTATCACTGACTTGTTCTTAGTCATGTGCAATCACTAAGGCCAAGAGAGGTAACAAGTGTTTGATGTATGATACTTGCGCCACTTTTGTCAGAACTGCATTTATTCTTACACTGTACTCCTATAGAGAGAGATTCCACAGAAAATGGAAACATGAATCTGGACACAGGTGGAGGTGGTCAACGTCCCCCAAAATTGATCAAACATTAACAACTTTTTTCTCCTTTCAGTGCAGCTGCTTTTGATATAAATTAAATGAACTGAGTGTATGAAGCCATCTATATATACCTCTTTTCAGCCTACTTAGGCCTCTTTGAAAGAGCTTATCAGATTCCGTTCATTCCTATCTTTTGCAATTTGCAAAGGAGCACCAAATTCCCTTTATGGTGTTGTTGTTGTTTTTAAAGAGTGAACTATAACATGGACAGAATTTAATTTATCAGGCAGAAGCATGTAGGCAAGCATGTTTATCAGCATCTCATATACTACGCCCCCAGATGGATATCTTAATCTGTTACTGGAAACATTCATGGTAGACGGTGTATGCATGAACCACAAAATGTTGGGTGGGGGCTCTGATGGAAAGCGAGGGAGTGTGAGAAAGAGTCCTAAAAGGTTCGCAAAATAGCTTTGTGCTATGTGAATAGCTTTCATTCTGAGATCCTTCAGTCATCCCTCTTTGTTCTACTGAGAAGACAAAGTGCCAAACCAATAGCATGTCAGATATCTATGACTTGTTTTGACCCAGTTTCAATCTTGCATCCTGGCATGTTCATGCATGTGTTATCATAGACGCACATGCAACATTTGGTACTATACATATGTGCACATGGACAAAGTGTGTGTCCACATTAATTGGCACATAGGTCCCCTCCCTCGTGTTGATTTTATCCCATGTAGAGTTGAATGGCTTTCTGTTTTGACAATTTTAACACTGTCTCAAGATTGTTTAGCAAAATCAAGAGCAGTTCTTGGCAATTAATTTCTGCAGTCAATA